CCTCACCAGAGTTCCACATCATGTCTACTTTTAAACGCTGTTATCATATCTCTCCTTATTCACCATTTTTCTACGTTAAACCATCTCAACTGTTGTAACCTTTCCTCACTGCCGAGTCATTCCAACCCCTTGAGATTGCTGGGGCACCCTAAGTTCCACTATCACTACTGATTAGTACCATTTTGCACTGACACACACAGACATGTTACCGATCAACTTTAAAAAATGGAACATTTTCTGTAGAAAAATAAAGCACTGGAAAAACTTCCACCCCACATCACTGAATGGGGGCGTGGTGAGAATTTTCTTTGAGAAGAGGACTGCAGCCCAGTGCATAACTTCTAAGGCACAGTTTGATTAACAGAAAGGTGAATAGAACTTTGAAGTAGTGTCCTGTGTTCTAAATAGCATAATATTCAACTGCCAATTAACAAAGTGAGTTAATGGCCAAACATTCACTGTCAATTCTCTTTAAAATTTATTTTGCATTACTGACATAAAATATTTACAGACTCTCCACCACTAATAAGCAACCTGCATTTCCAGAAAGCAATAAAAATGTCAGGATTGCTACTATAGTTTGGTAAACATCCTGCAAGTAAGCAACAGGCTAACTTCTGCTTGCTTTGACTATGTTTTAAGAACTAGAATTTCTAAGGTCAATTAATGCATTAGGTTATGAAGCAAGAGATGCTGAAGGTGTCTTTCTAACAAGAAAGGGATAATTTATCTGTCTTAAATAGCCCTGAATATACACTCTTTCCTTGCATGCAGTATTCTTCATAGAAGTCACAGGAACCAGAAGGCAATAGGTTAACAGTCCACTGGTGAACAAATATAAAAGTTTATACTATGCCCATCTGTGGCAGATAATCATAACCGTAAATTAAAATTGTCATTTAACCACACACTATTTTTAAAAGCACTAACCTTCTTCCATTTCAAGAGAACAGATAACATTCTTGCTGTTTAATATATCAAAATCAATAAAGTATGCATCAATCAATAAAGTATACACTGAATAAATATAATTCTAAATAAACTGAATTAGGAAGAGACCTTTGAACACAGGGGCATTAGTAAAACCAGAATGTTTTTGTCACAAGATTATCATAAATAAGCAATTAAATGTTATGCTTTTTACCATCTTGTACTTTCATTAACTCATGCAAGCAAGTAACTCATTACAAAATACATAATCAATAACCTACTATTAAAGGAAACATTTTCATTGGCTTACATGAAATCTTCTCTATTTCTAAGTAAAAATGGAAAACTAGGCTGATAAAATTATAGAGTTAATTTAAGTAATTAGAGCAAAGTATATAAAGATTAAAGATGTAAATACCCTTGCTATGCAGTGGGAAAAACACATAGCAACTTCATATTATCAACATTCATAGATTGAAGACCATACAGAAGAAAGGTACAAGTAGTTTAAATAAAAGCAAAAAAGTATTTTCAAGATCATTGTGAGTACAGAACTTTGCAGAAGTATTTACCCTCTTTCATTTACCCTCTTTCACTTACCAGATTTTGTTATGTTACAACCTGGAACTAAAGTAGATTTAATTGGCATTGTTATCTCTTGATTTACACAAGATATTCAGCATCATGCATGTGCAAAATACTTTTATTGTGATAAAAAGTTATGAAAACAAAAACAAACTGAGACTTGTTTCTTGTGTAAGCATTAATCCCCTTTGCTGTGACATGCCTAACAAGCTCTGGTACAACCCACTGCCTCCAGAAATCATATATGGTAAGTAACTGAATGGAAACTACCTGTGTGCATTCCAGTGCCACATGATCTCAGATTAGATACACCTGTTTCTGGAACATTCCAGAGTTGGAGAGCATATCTAAGCAAACAGCAGGATGAAGTCCAAACAGTTATTCAAACAACTGCAGCCGCCCCGAGGCTTTGTTGCAATGGGGGCGGCATAGAAATGTTTTAAATCAATAAATAAATAACATTGTATAAAAGCACCAAGTGTATTTTTTTAAATCCCAAGCTATAAACATCCTCTGGAATACTGCTAAATCCATCATTAGAGAATGGAAAGAATATAGTTCAAGCAGAACTCTGCCTAGAGCAGTCTATCTACCAAAACTGTGGGACCAGGTAAGGAGACCATTAGTCAAATAAGCAACCAAGAGACCAATGATAACATGGGACAACTATCACCCAGACTTTCCACAAAGCTGGACTTTGCCAAAAGTCATGGGGGAAACACAGCAAACATGTGGGAAAAGGTTCTCCAGCCTAATGGGATCGTTAACTTTTGGACCTTGCTGCAGGTTTTTGTGGTGCACAGCCAACAGCACTTATTACCTCAAGACCACCACCCCCACAGTAGTAACAGCATGTTCTGGGGATGCTTTTCCTCAGCAGGGACTGGGAAACTGATCAGCACTGAGCAAAAGATGAACAAAGTCAAACATGGAGCAATTCTAGAGGATGACCTGATTCAGTCCGCAAGAGACCTGGGACTGGGATGAAGGTCAGCCTTCCAACAAAACAATGACACGAAACACACAGCCAAAGTAATACTGGACTGGTTTCAAAGCAAGAACCTGATTGTCTCAGAATGGCCCTGTCAAAGCCCAGATCTCAATCCAATTGAGAACCTGTGGCAACACCTGAAAGTCACTGTTCACCAAGAGTCCTGATCAGAGCTAGAGTACTTAGCTGTGAAAAATGGGTGAGCACTGCAGGATTTAGATGCACAAGCTCAAAGAGATTTACCCAAGAAAAACAGCTGTAATTTCTCCCAAAGATGTTTCTGAGTCCAAGTATGGACTCGGGCAGGTGAATACTTGCCGGTAAACACTTGCCAACCAACAACTGCCAGTTTTTTAATTGTTCTTATTACTATTATCAATAATGATTGTATATCTACAACTGAAGATATACAAGATAGGTATAGCACGCAACAGTTCACACAGCACATGAACACAATAGAAATACAATAGAAAACAGTAAAACATAACATTGCACTATTCAATTTAAAATGCAGATTCAAAAGCTAGTTTAAACAACCTAGAATGACTAACACAAATTCGAACACAAGACCTGTTAGACAGCTGATATAACATGCCAATATACTATTTAGAGCTGATAAAATGCTCTATCATATTGAACAGTCTTAACCTGTTGCCAGAAGCACAGGAGAACTGGTGCTAGAAACACAAGAAACAATTCATAATGTTTCAAAACAACATGTAAAATTACAAACTGAGCAATGTTTCTGTGTCTTCTCAACAGTGGAAACATTTATCGTCAAGTCAACCAAAATATAAAGTTTCAAGTATATGACACTGACAGACACAGAACTAGGTCATTCACTGTCACCATTTCCTAGAACACATGCCAGCACAAGGTACCTCCTCTTAAGTGATGGAACTTTAAAGCAGAGTTTGCCTGGTTGTTATTTGTATGGAAACAGCATCAATAGACTGATATCAGATACTAAATGTAGCCAGGAAAGTTTAAGGAGTGGAAAGCAATGCTAAGGACATTTTGCACCTAGTGTTACAGCTATTCAAACAAGAAGCTGTTAATCAAGATTTAACTGAGAAATGTGGCAACTTCGAGGATATCCAGCATATAACCTAGCTATGGAATGTTCTGAAGCATCCATTCAACAACTCTGCTACCCATAATAAAGTAGGTATGTACAGAGCTACAAATATTCAGTTATACATTTTAGCATCTAATTACACAAGAACAGAACAAATCACAGGAAAGCAATCATCTTACCAACACTTAAATATTTAAAAAGGGACACCATGTTCTAGTGCTGCCATCTAGCCTCTATTCAGGACATTACCAGAAAAAGTGTGAAAATGTCCAGCTCTAATTCAGCAGCGGATCCTGCCCCCATCTTTAACGGATCTCCTCAGCAGGGATACATTGGAAAGCTTTTTATTCTGTATCTGTCTCTCTGAAGAATTACTGTTTCTTCTAAGTACAAACATCATGACTGGAATATCGGTGCTGCTTACTCTGCCACTCTACCGCATGTGCTGCTCAAAACTTTCACACCTCAAGTGGACCTTATTCCACAACAGATTATTCCATAACAGATTTAAGATACTACTCTCATCTTTTTTTTTTTTGCTATAAAAGACTAATGTGCCTTCCTTTTGAAAATTCTTTAATAACTCACTTAAATTAGTTGAAGTGAGCAATGTAGTTTAGAGAAATCTATTACATTAAATTGTCTGCTAAGTTATATCTTGCATTTCACACTATGTGTGCCTCATCACAGCCAAGTTTTGTTTAGATTGTAAGTATTTCCTCTGACGATTGACTGACTGCTTAGCCAAAGGGTAAATTAACCAAAGGGAAACTGGTCAGCCCCTCTGCAACATCAGAGATCATCCAATTGCCACCACAGGCTCTCCCGGGGAGTTCCCAGGGCAGCAACCAAAATCAGAGAAATTCACTAAGAGGGAAATGCTTGAAGCAACTGGAAGTTGTACAACTTTTCATAGTAGAATTAGAGTAGTAATTATAATAACAGAAGCTTTAGTACAAATATTCAGGGTTCTGTAAACGATGCATAAAGAAAATTCAGCACCCTTTGAAAATAATGCTAATTGATCAAGATTCATCTCCATTTAACAATGTGATTTTGATGCTCTGAGACATGAAGGATCTTCTTCTCTCCCTACTTAAGATAATGGACAGTTCATTTATTTAAATAAGTGGGGGGGACCCACTTGTCTAATTCAGTTGAATGCAGTGATGCTTCTTTTACGTATACAGATGTTTTGGCAATGCTCAGAAGTTGCTTATTTTCAAAATTAAAATTAAGTTGCCCATGGCACCATGTTGGAGACACTTACACTAGGGACACAGTGTTGGGGACCCTGACCCAGCATATTCTAATCTCTCCATATCCTTGTGTGAGCTTTCTTGAAGTTTACTTGTTCTTAAATCCTTTATAAAACAGATATTATTCAAATAATCAATATAAACAAGCTATACATACTATACTATTCATTTCTGAAGAGTCATAACTTCCACATGGATGGACACTCCCAATGGGCTCCAACCCTTCTTCATCCCACATATATGTCCCATCAGAGCTATCGGATGGAGAAAGTTCAAAGGAGGAGCCAGCTCTGTAGTCCATGTCAGAGGAAATCACATTATTCCCAGAAGAATGCTTTGCACTTTCACTCTTGTCATCTACTACTGAAATGAAAGCAACAACAAAAATCATTGTGATATACATTTGATCAACATTTGTATACCAGCTTTCAAGGCTAACCTTCTCAAGGAATTGGTTACATGAAAAGTAACCAATTCTCTATAGCATTATTTAACATTAAGTGTGATAATTACTGTCCATACCAAAATATTTGAAGAAACAGCTTCAGTTTAACAAAGGAAGTACCATGTAAACATGTTACATGCACACTGCCAAATGGAACTGCCAGAAGTAGACATGCTTTCTTTTCCAATATTATTTGAAAATTTTGTTAAATAGCTCAGTAGTCATACAAGTGACAAGGTCACTTTTTATAATTTAGCTTAAATATTAGGGATGACATAAGTATTCATAATACTACATAGTACTTTCCAGATTATTAATATTTGGACATTAAGACAGTCATTTTACTAACTCATTCCAATCATATCAGAATGCCAGAGTAACAAATATTGATTACCTTTAGTTCATACATCTTTCCCCCAATTAGATGAATTCTTATACTGCACACTTTTTACATTTCACAGAAAAGAGAAGTGCCTCTTCTTTCATATTTTTCAAGAAATCAAGAGAAAAATAAAGGTCTCTGTCCTTATTTCAGTACCCTGTTCTCATTAGATCCTTATTTCCTTACTCTGTTCTCATTAGAGTGAAGATGCCTATTGCCTTTTTTGTGCTGCTTACATTTATAAGATTTCTCATTCGTGGCTTTCTAGGAAGCTTTTAAAATGTGTGAGGAAAATATAACCAAATAATCAATATTAATTTTTAATAAAACTTACTTCTATATATATAAGATCACAGATTACATTATAAATTGTCAAATGTTTTCTTTAAGAGCAAAACAACTGAATAAATTAAGCCTTACATACAAGTCTGTTAGAGCTTCCACTTCCAATAAACTAAACTACGAGATACTTAAGCCACTACATAAAAAGTACTAGACACTATCTCAAGATTAAGCACTAATAACCTTTGTTGATTTCCATGGGTCTAAGTTAAACATGTGCTTACCTCTTCCATCAAATTCACTGTGCCTTATACTTCTTTGACTAGACCATGCCCATTATTTCAACATCAAATTTACACCTGCACATTTTCCACTTGAAAAAGGTGCTAAGAATCCATTTGCACTACAAAGTCTTAGTCTAAGAAAATATTTGTTTTAATCTTCTAAAATTGGCTAAAGCCATCTGTGTTTACCCTTCACACATTCAAACTTAAATACACTTTTTGAATAATGTCAGCTCTACCCACTATTATTCAAAATTTAATTTCCAAGTTCTTATACTGCAATCTATACATATCTACTCAAAAGCAAGTCTCATTGACTTCTCTGGGGCTTCCTCATAGGCAATTGGGCATAAAATTGCAGCCTAGAAAACATTATTTACTGACAAAAGAATAGTGACAATATAACAGAAGCTTATGCTCTTATCTAAAAAGTTTAAAAATAAACATTTACCAGTATCACGTATATCTAGCCATTCGTCAGAATTGCAGTTTGGTGTTTCACTTTTTTTATGAGACAGAAGTTGTTCTAGCAATATTCCATTTCCACAATCCACTTCTTGATCATAAGCTTCCTTTTCTTCGATTTTTATTGTTCTGTTTGGATCTTCTAAATCTAAAAAGTCATCACTAAAGTCTTCACTCAGATCATTTTTCTCAGACGAGGACAAGGAAGAAATTGATATTTCATCCACATCACCATCCATTAAAATCTTACAGCCACTTTCTACAAAATTATTACATACAACCTCCCCATCTTCTATTCTTTCACTGTTTTGTGTTCCATTTGCATCAATACTTCCATTGGTATTTGTTGAAATTGAGTTCTCCACTGTGCAGTTTTCAGTATCTTTACTTATGTTGCCATCCACAGGAATCTTCCTGCCCAAATGTTGGTTACTAGGTTTCAGTAATGAAGGACGTCCTGTTCTAAATCTCAGACAGGGTCCATCCCCAGAGCCATTTGACAGTGGTGGTTTCTTCAAAACAGCAGGTGCAAAAGCAATATATGATCTAGCAAATCCATACCTTAAAGATTCATTAGCATTGGGCATATCGATCTGCCGTGCACTTCTTGACAACAGATTTGACCTCTGAGATGTTCTAATAGCTAGGTGCTGATTTTGATAAGGCCTTGCAATTTCCACAGCTCTATTAAAAGAGTGTGACCTGGTTAGGGATGCAGGGGGCAAGAAAGAGCTTTGAATGGAATGTGAAAAGCTTTGTGACCTCACCATAGTTTCACATGATTTATCATTGTCTGTTGACTTTGCAAGACTCTCCCCTGAGCTGCTCCTGGTGGCAGTAGAATTTCCTTTATTCCTCTGCAGACCTGTCGATCGATTCCCACAAATTCCATTCAAGTGAGATTTTGGAGCAGTAGGTCCAGAATATGAAGGCCTACCTAACAATGAGCTTTTGGTGAACTTAGCTGAACTGGACAATCCAGACAAAGCTGTTTGGTTTAATTCTTCTGCAGGAGACACAAACATGTTGCTTTGCTTTGCAATTTTTGAGAAGGCGCTATTTGAACCCACCCTGAGCACGTCTTTACCACCTGCTCTTTCCGATTGAGAGCACTTTTCCGAATCAGTCAATCTTTCACTGGAATTATGACTGGAGCTAGATTCACTACTAATCTGATCACCCAATTGGTATTTATTTGATTTTCGCCAGTTAATAGAGAAGGAAGACATGTTAATAGTGCCATTGTGCTTGCTGAATTTTTTGTCACTGCGTTGAGTATTCCCTGATAAATTAAGAGCTGTTCCATTTGGAACTGTCGGTAGGATAGTCCCAGCAGGTTTTGTTCCATACTTTGGTAACCTGGAAACCAAGGATGTCCTGATACGATTTTTCTCTTCCATGAGCTATAGTCCTTCCATGAGATATAGCCCTGTAATATGTCTTCACTCTAGAGAGAACAGAAGAGAAAGAGGGGAGGAGACATTTTTAAAAACACCACAAGCATTGCTATAGGAAATATACAGTATATTATATAAAATTAAAGTGATGCCCACAGTGGCACAGCAAGCTCTATATCCAAACTACCAGAATACATTCACACTGGACAGAATTTCCTTGCACTGGAACATTTTTTCAAGAAAGACTAATGAAACACATACTAATTTTAGTTACTATCTGATCTAGGAATATATTTATTGTAACATTTCACACATGAGAAGACTTGAAAAATGATTCCCTTTAAGGCATATATAAGTGGTCCCATAAGGATGTATCATACATCCAACTTTAGTAGCAACCGTTTGGGCTGATCCAACAGAAATCCTTGGGAATGAAAGTAATGCTGAGCATTTAAAGTATTACATCAGAACTGCCCTTCACTTTCTTAATACCACGTCCAAGAGATCTTGCTCAGAAGTGCCTGCCCAGGATTCTTACTGATAAAGACAACTGCTCTATCAATAATATATAAGGTGCCCTGCCCCACCCCCAAAATCCACAGCAACAGCTACACTATATTCACACAATATCTGAGCAATATCTGATAGACAGACTTGTTCAGAAAGTGAAAACTGCCATGACTTTGAGATTTGGCTGCTCCATTGAAAGAGCTCAGAAATAAGTGATATATGTTTGGAAATGCTGAAGTGCATTTAATATTCTTATACAAGATGAATGCCAAACAATGAAAAGGACTTGAAACTGTGGATATGTTTGCAATGTGGACTGACTGACTGTCAATTCATTATAGACCATTATATATCAACACAAAATTAACTTCCATGTCTGCAAAAGCCTAAGAACTTTATTAGTGTTCAGTATTCATATCTGGGGAGTTTTCAAAGACAGCTGGAATTTGAAAAGCTGATGATAAATGTGTGAGTACTCAATATGATGGAAACACTTAACAAATAAATAGGAAATTTAATCTTACTGTTAAATGCCTAAGAATGTGTTGAGTTTGAATTCTATTTTTCCACTAAAATTGCTTTGTGTACACAGATGCATGGCTCTTTTGGAGCACCCTATGAGTGTGTCTATCAAAACTACATCAAGTCTAATATTAATAGTTGCTCTCGCAGAGATTGAGCTGTTCCATGCTTATGCAGCAGCAAATCTTTGATCTGTGAAATAGCCATAAAGCCTCTGCTATTTTACAGAACTAAGTAATAGTAACTCCATAGTGCAAAGTTGTTACCACTATCTTAATTTTATTAAGCTTAGCAAGCAAGTTTAAACTAGAAATGGGACATCCAAATCTCTATAAATCCTTATCACAAGCTCTTACAGGATGTAATTGAATCAGCTGCAAAAGGAAAATACACTTCTAAAGAAAACAGATAATATCAAATAACCTTGTTGTGCTGAAAGATATTTTATCCCCACAACACATTCAAAATTCTAATATTAAAAAATGCCATGGTTTACAACTAGTTTACTATAACTTATCAAACCAGTCTTTAAGAAATGTACATACTGTAGTTCGCAGACAGTTGTGACCTACATTTTGCATGTGAAATGTAGGTCACATTAAAAAGTCATGCAGTTGAATACTTATTTGCAAGCCTTCCTTTAAGTGGGTGCAGGCACTCCCTGGCCCCACTTCACTCAACAAGACAGCACCCCCTCCCCATACCCACACTAATGCTATGCCAGTTACCTTGCTCTTGTGAAATTACTTCATCAAGGTAATTGTGAGGGGGGAGGATGAAGCATTACAAAGCAACACAGGGAATTGCAAAAGCTCTGTCCCAAAGCAGTGTGGGCTCATAAACAGTCTTTTGTCTTTCCTTAAGCAAGCTGGTGCATGACTCATGCCATGCATGTTCTGTATCAAGGTAACTGTATAATTAAAAAAAAAACTATCTTAGAACACTCTGGGAAATTAATTTCCTATCAATATAACTTAGTCACATTCTATGTCTGTGTGAATGTGCTTAAATGAACAATTCAGAATCAAATAGTCATTATAATCAAGTGCCAATATCATTATCTTTCTATCCTTTATTCCACTTGTTCAGGTTGGAGTGAGTGTATTACCCAACCATTTTGATAAAAAAGAATTATTACCCAAAAATTCACTCACCCACTCAAGTTGCTCAAAATAAAACTTTTTTATAAAATAGAAAATTGAAGATTGCTCTCACATCTATGATAGTTAATTAGTCCTGCAACTGATTTTGCAGCATGTTAATTATATTGCAATAGCTATCTCAGTGCTGTACTGGGCACACTCATCTTTCATTGGCTGCAATCTTAAGTATGCTTACTTGAATGGAAATTCACCCAAAATCAAAGGGATGCTTATGTGGCAATAATGTGTTTCAGATTCAACTCTTGCTATTCCCCCAACATTACACTTACAAGGAATTGTCAGAATATTTTGTCTCTTGCCCTCATCCTTCCTTTGTTTAAATGTTTTATTTTTGATGTTAAATAAAAATAACAAAAAGGTATTTTGGGCCATGAGGTGCAATAAACGTTCAAGACTACAGCATATTACATTCATAGAAGTAATATGGGTTTTCTGGAAAAAGCAGAACTGGAAAATTTTCCAGAAGATTTTCCTATGCTCTAAATATTGAGTAGCACCACTTTTTGTCTTTCTAGTTAATTGCTATATGTGTCTTGTGTTTTTCTACATATTGTTAAATGCTTGTTCATTCTTGTTGCATTGTTAACATAGGCCTGCTCTCAATAATTACATTTACCAACTGTCTTGATTCTTCTAGTGGTTTCACTGTAGCAATGCTACATCCTAGTCTTGTGTTTTGGCATTACGACTTAGCTCAAAGTAAACACAAGCACTAGATGACTAACAAATCATATGTAAATACGTCTAACTTCCTGAACAACGAATCAATTAGTGTTAGGAAATTGAACACAATATAATTTCTAGTTAATAAATGACAAAGCAGTTAGCAGTAACTGTCACATCAGCAAAAAGAGAAGGGATCCCACCCATGGTGCAGGGCGTGGAAAAACTTCTGAAAGGCAGTGACAAGGTGGTAGTAGTTAAAGGCAATGCTGGTGGAAGATCTTTCACAGACAAGGACAGTGATGCTCAAGCTAACTCTGGTTAGTACTGCAGAGGAGGAGGATGTGGTAATCTTCTTACCCCCAAAACCCTATGATGAAACAATCCAAAAAGAAACGAGATGGTGCCAAAAGATGGGACCTTCAAGTTAGAAAGCACTTTGTGAGCTACTAGAGAAGGGCAAATGATAAATACAAGTAGCGCTGTCACTAGTGACATTACTAGATCAAAACCGAAAGGAAGTATAGTAGCTGACATGTGCAGCATCTGACATTCATCGCTGCGCAACACAAACAATTGGGAAATGGAATGTGAGATGTCTGAATCAAGGAAAATTGGATATTGTAAAACAAGAAATGGAAAGAATGAACATCACAGTACTTGGTATAAGTAAACTAAAGTGGACTGGAATGGGACGTATCCAATCAGACAAACATAAAGTGCTTTACTTCAGAAATGACAAACTTAGAAGAACTGGAGTGGCTCTCCAACAAGAGATGTTGAAGAAGAAATGGAAAACTTTCATGCAGGTGTTCAAGAGAAAATTGGTAAGACCAAAACAAGATATGCTGCTAGAAGGCAAAAGTAGAAAGCAAAGCAGAACCAAATATCGTAGGAAAATTTGGCCGAGGGGTAAGAAATAAAGCAGGAGAATGACTTGTAGAATTTTGTGAAGCCAACAACCTGTTCATTGCAAACATGTACTTCAAGGAACCACTCAAATGACTGTATACATGGACTTCACCAGATGGCCAATGAAGAAATCGAATAGATAATGAAATTGGAAGCAGAAGGTATAGAACCTGTATTCTTGCTGCCAAGACCAGAAGCAGACTGTGGTACTGACCACCAGTTCTTAACTTCAAAAATCAAGGTCAAGCGAAAAGAGATCACCAACAGAAGCATAGTGCCAAAAATATAACTTCAGTAACATCCCTGACAAATTTAAAGTCCACATGTAGAAGAGATTTTCATTGCTCAACTTAATTGACCACCTCTGGTTTCAGAACAACTGAAACCAGAGAGATCATTAGGGAAGAATGCCAAAAGACAATTTCTGCATCAACAAGAAAAAGCCTATATGGATGACAGAATAAACACTCACACTTGCAAAGCACAGGTGAGAAACAAAAGGGCTCCGAATCCTGAATGCAACTTTTCAGCAACTATCACACAGCATAAAAAAAGAACTATTACAATGACCAGCGCAAAGAAACAGAAAGAGCAACAAAGCAAGAGACCTCTTCCAGAAGATCTAAGGAATCAAAGGGAAATTCAAACCTAGATTAGGAATGCTAAAAGACAAATAAGGAAACATACCACATGGCCAGGAGGAGGTGAAAAGAATATACAGGTGAAATGAAAGGATGACAGACTTCTTCAAAGCAGAATTCTATGAAGAAGAGCCTGCAATATTAGAAGGTGAAGTGAAAGCCGCTCTGAAAGTACCCACAAAGAATAATGCACCTGGAGTAGACAGGATACCAGTAAAACTATTCCAAGCTGTAGGAGTCCAAATACTAACAAAAATATGTCAACAAATATGGAAAACAAGATAATGTCCCACAGACTGGGAACATTCAGTATATCTTCCAAACCCCAAGAAAGGCCAGGCAAAGGAGTGTAGCAACCATTAGACCATAGCATTGATCTCCATGTAAGCAAACTGATACTGAAAATACAACAAAGAGTACTACCTTATATGGAGTGAGAAACGCAGGACGTCCAAGCTGGATTTCAAAAAGGAAGAGGCACTGGAGATAGAATTGTAAATGTATGTTGGCTACAGGAGCACACCAAACAATTTCAGGAGATCAGTCTATGTTTTATAGACTACAGCAAAGCCTTTGACTATATAGATTATGAGAAGCTAGAGATGGTCCCAAAAGAAATGGGTGTGCCACAGCACTTGATTGTCCTATCAATTGAAAACCTGGGAGGCAGGAAGCTACAGTTAGGACAAGATATTGAAAAACAGAATGGTTTCCCATAAGCAAAGATGTCAGACAGGGATGTATTTATCTCCCTATCCGTTAAATCTGTACTCAGAACATGCCTTAGAGAAAGCTTAAAATCAGGAGGAGGAGTAAAATTTGGTGGAAGAAACACCACTAAATTAAGATGTGCAAATAGCAGCAATGCCTTGAAACAGCACCTGATAAAAGTGGAAGAAGAAAGCACAAAAGCAAAACTGTAGCTGAATATTAGGAAAACAAAAAGTATGCCTGCAGAAGAATTAAAAACTCTACAATTAATAATGAAAACATTGAAATTGTGAAAAATGTTGCATACTTTGGCTCAGTCATCAATTCAAAGGGAGACTGCTGCCAAGAAATTCAAAGATGAATGAGCAATGCCAAAAGGACAGCAGGAACCAGAAAAAAAACCATCAAATGTAAGGATGTTTTACTGGTGTAAGGTCAAGATCATCCAAACTATTGTATTCCCAATCATACTGTATTGTATGGGTGTTAAATCTTGGCATTGAAGAAAGGTGACAAGAAGAAAAGAAACATGATGAAGAAATAATGCATGATAAATCTAAGTAATTATTTAGTGAGAGCACACAGCAGTCAATATTCTCTGAAAACCAACACTAACAGACTAGAATAGATCGAGAATGCATTGGATACAATGCACAGAAATGAGCACTGACTGAAAGTGAACTAAGTGTTTCTTCTTTGAGCTAGGAACTCAAGTGAACTAAACATAACGATTTTCAATACTGTGAATACTGTCCTTTATATTCTGCACGATGCAAAATGTTTTGTTTTTTAATGCTTGTTTATTTTGCTGAAATTGCAATAAATTTGATTTACTCCAACTCAGATCTTATTTATGGAAAATTGCCACAAAGATATCATGCTTGGCTACTAATAATGCACTGAAGACTGCATAATAGTGCTATGGATAATAATTATACATTTTAAGCAATGCCTGTACCAATGGTTCATAGAAGAGAGGCTTGTCTCCCTAGTGAGCCATGTGTACTCAAAAATAGTAGCTCTTACCTGACATAACTTTGCTGTCAGTTTGAATGACTAACTGCCTGTATTGACTGTCAGCACTAGGATTCAGTGAAGTACCTCAGTCATATAAACATCCACTTGCCTAGTCAACTGTGGTGACTAAGAACAAATGACCTGACAGGAAGTATTCTAAAAGCTGCACTGAAGAGCACAGTATCCATTTACAGTTATTAAAATATATATTATTATACTTGTATCCTGTTTTTCCCCTCAAGGTGGCTTACATAATTCTCCTCCGCCTCTCAAGCTTCTCACAACCACCCTGTGAGGTAGGCTGGACTGAGATTCTAACTGGCCTGAAGTCACCCAGTTAGCTCCATGGCTGAGTGGGGACTAGAACCCAGATCTCCTGAGTCCCAGCCCTATACTCTTAACCACTATAACACACATGTAACGGTAACAGACAATTGTAATAAATATATTTTCATATGATGCAAATGCCTTTTACTACTAAACTTGAGTGGAATCCAGTCAACATGTAGCACCTTTGGGTATCATTGCTTCCAATCTGAGAATTAGCCAAGAGCTGAACTCCTTTACCAACATAATGTAAAACTACTTAACTTCGACTAGGTGATACCCTATGTTTGTAGACTGTTGAAGTGCCCATTAGTATTAACCTAGGGATTACTAATGCATGTGTGGGTTACTAAGGGAGCAATCCAACAGGGGTGCTTGCAGTCCTCTGCACTCAGATTGCGGGATTCAACTGAGGATGGAAGGAGCAGGGAAGCAAATGTTTTCTCACACTCCTATACTGAAAGAGACCTGCTCACAAGAACAGACAAAGGTGCAGCTCAGACAACTCATATCCTGGCGAACCCTTGCCCCTCCCCTCCCCATCTCCTCCAGAATGCCCTCCCAGCACCAGCACCAAGGATGGTCTTGTTCCCTCAGAGCTGGCATGGAAAGAACCAGCGCCAACTGCAGGGGATGCTTCCAGTGTCAGAGCTCAGAATCCAAAATTTCCTGCGGCCAGCTGGATACCATCTACTGTCCTAAGGTCTGCACCCTACCCTTCACTGACACCTACAGGAATAATAGTTAACTTTTATTAGGATTTTGCTCCCCTAATTTCAACTCCCTGCTCTATCATCCTCCCATTCTATCCAGGCACATTGAGTTCACTTTCTTCCCCTTTTGGGTTACCATTGCAGATTTAGGAGATGACACATTAAAGCTTAGCAATATGCATGAGGGATTCAACAGTACAGCAGCAGCCAAGAACCCAACAGTTTTATAGTTACACCTGTATTAGAACTTTCAAAATTATTTTTAAAAAGATTAAAAGCTAATGAACTACACAATTGTCAACTACCAGAAAGCTTCTCTTCTGGATAGGAAGCAGGTACCTTAGGTTTAATCCAGCAATACATTTAATTAAGCAGGTACCTTATATTCACTTTAATCCAGCAATACATTTTGTAACTTTTAATGTGCTCCAGAATCATGTCCTCTACCACCCCATCAATACATTTTTTGTCTCTGCCATAGCTTAGCTTGTTTACATGATATAAGTGGGAATGCTGTAAAAAGTTTGGTTTTGTATTCCTTTTGAAGGAATGTCTCCAGAATAACCTGACCGGAAGCAGTGTGGAACTGATTACTATCAACAAAATTATTTCTTCTATAGCAGCCGGGATTGCTCAATTTACAAACCAAATTGCAGTTAACTTCCCTTCCAGATCAGCTTAAGAGCATCCTTTGATATTGTTGCTTATAAAGTTCTCTGAAATTGATGTCAACCCATGTAGATATCTAAGGCGGATGGTGTATGAAAGGGTTTCCATCAATGGTCAAGACACCTCATATTTCAGAAAAACAATGGGGAATCACCTCATTTATTGAATGAGAAAAAGACAATATTTAAATACTAACACAGAACACAAACCTTGTATCTCACTTTTAACATCCTACTGGAGTCCAGACAATGATGCTATGAAAATTTACAAGTTTCATTTCAAAATATTTGTTAATGCACTGCATTGTAAGAGATTAGATCTCAAGGCAGAATGTTGTCAACTGCTAGGAACCAGCTGACCCTGCAGAACATCAAAGACTGCTTCTATAGGCAGACATCTTTATGAGCAATCAGTCACAAGTCCATCTGCAGCTTCTTCAAGCCCCTTCCATTGAAAAGAAGTGCCTCTAATGTGGACTATTACATGGAGTCCCAGGGACCAGAATAGAGTGTTCTACCTTTAATATAATGTGCCTTTTGTTCTTTTTAACTGTAAGACACTTTTAGAAGTCAATCTTTGTTGAAAAGTAGGATTTTTAATACTTGGGATTGTTCAGAAATGCAGATCTTACTATTTTCATTAATCATCATCACAGCAATTTAAATATCACCTTTCAGGATACAAATCATTCCAAGAAAGCTTACAAATTACATAATATTCTTCAATAAAATAAGACTCAGTGTAAAAAATAACTCTTCAGGAAGTTCCTATAAGGTAGACAGTGGTAGATGTTCCTTGAAGAGCAGACATTCCAGGAACACGTGGCAACTTAGTGGTTTGCTTAATACCTATTATCTAAAAGGCATATTGACTGGACTTAGAATATATTAACTTTTGTAAGTTCACAGAAAGAAGGTTCCCACCTCTCCTCCCTCCTGAAGCCCAGTGGCCCACAAGGACCCCTCCAGAGGGCTGAGGGCATGCAATGGTACAATCTGGGATGGACACAAGGGGCTGTTGGGGAAGAAAACTTTCCTTCCCTGAACCTCTTTATCCAGGTCTAATTTTGGAGCACTCCAGTTACCTAGCAGCTTATCCCATCCACATTGTTTGGCTTTTGAGGGCTGCAGCAGTGGGAGGAGAATATAGTAAGCTTTCTTTTTGTGAACCTCCTTAAGTTAAATTACCTTGGGATTCAAGTAAATATATTTCCAAGAAAGATTAAAACATTTCTACAAGAGGCTTTTGCTTTCCTATAAATGTTAAAAAATTAACTATTTCAAAAAACACCAATCCAAAACCCATAGTCTACAAACATTATTGTTGTAACTCATGGAAAATAAAGAAAAAGTTACCTTGACTATTTAACTATAGATACTATAGTTAACTATAGTATTTAACTATAGATATTTACATATATAGATATATTAGATATATAGATATTTAACTATAGATATCCCCTTTAACTATTACGGTAAATTAAGCAAAGTGCCATTTGTGAGCACCACACATCTTGTCTTTCCTGGTATTTGATAAAAATTAGGTTTTAAAATGTAAAACTAAACTCTAATTGTTTTTAACAATGATTAACACAACAAAACAGCCCTTCTAATATAGCGCTTGCAGTACCAACCTGGTGGCACAGGCCACACCCAGACAGACAAGACCTTGCCATCTGAGGATCCAGAAAACCAATAAAGGATTACAGCCCAATCTGTACATAGACAGGTAAACTTGCAGATTCCAGTGGGCTTTGATGTACCTCACTCTGCAGAGGACTGATCTGTAAGCCTTGTAAAATTATTGATCATTAACCCATGGGAAAAAAGGGTATTAAGGACACCCATATGCCAGACAAATTTTGAAAAGATACTTCTGATCAATTTTCCTGAGTCATAGCAGAATGAATTTCCCAGTGAAAAAGATTTAGAAGATATACCAAATCCCCCTCCACTGTGACATTAAAAAAAGTATTTTCCCTAGACATTTACAGACATGAATTTCCAGACAGAATATTTGATACATATTTGAACAAGCTATTATGTAACTGTTATTGCCTAATATTTATTTATCACAGTATGTATTTAAAATTAAAGCAACCTATGCTAAAAAGTTTTCAGTTATCTTTAAAAACATAAACATCTGCATCCAAGATATTGAAATCTAGCTAGTAAAAGCATCATTGAAAAATGTTGGCCTTCCCTAATTTAAGTTTAAATCAAACCCTACCTGTGCAGTAGTGTCAAGTGGGAGTGCAAAAGCTGTCCCACAAATGACCCTATACTATAAGCAAGGCCCACAGCCTTCCCACCAAATGCCTATCCAGTGGGAGCACAGCCTGAGAGAGAATGATCAACGGATCACCCCAGGGAAGTTTATTCCATTTTAAAGGCAACTGAGCATGAAGATCATGTTGTCCCCTGCACCCTACCAGTCTTTAACCATCATGATCTGTGTTAAACACAGGGGAGAACTCCTAGCATAGCTTGAGCTCTGAAATGTACAATAGGCAATGTAGAGCTACTTGTCCGTTTCCAACTTCCATCTGCTCAGCAATCAGCTTCATAAAATCTCTCCTATCTTTTCAGCACAACAGCCTCTTGAGACCAAGCTATATGATAAATGCTGTTTGTCAGTGGTTAAAGAATTCAGTTGCAATGGCAAAACATAATCACTGCAAACTCTCCTTCATAAAGCTGCTTAAGACAGGGGTTTGCTATGAGATGACAGGCTCAAACAACGGTATGGTTTGCCATGTCATCTGAATACAGGCTGCCTCTCTCATATGGACTGAAGTATTTCAGGCCTACCCTTTCCCTCTGTCTATAGCAGCTGGAAAGAAGCAAAAGGGAGACAGCAGAAAAAAAGATAAGAAAAAGGGCTGGCATAATAAAAAAGAAAGGACCCTTTGGGAAAGCAGCTGTGGCAAGGAAGGCAGGATAAGGAATATTAATGTCATTACCCCTGCATTCTCTCAAACATACTGACTGGTAGGCTTTTCTACCAACTATTTGGGAGAAAGTTAAAATATTGTTAGTTATTAGTTCTATAGCTCTTTCAATTTGCAAATGGTTTACAACTGTTGTGCCATTTATCCTCACAAGAGCTATGAGAGATTGGGACAAGAAGTAGTGGCTTGCTCAAGGTCACTGAGCTTCAAAGTCTGAAAAAGAAAAAGAAAAGGGGAGGGGAGTAAAAGAAGAAAACTCAGTATTACCTTCCTTGGGAGGGCAAGCCTATAGTGAATCATGGTGGACACATATGTAAACACAATATGAATCACGATAGACACAGATGCAAAAGGCAAACATCTGGTACTTCATTCACTGTTCCTAAGAAGACAAGCAACTATGGGAAGTAAGCGCAAGTCCATGAGCAGAAGCACCCTACCTTCAAAAGGACAGATTAATGCACACCGCACTGCCCAGTCTGCCCCACACCCCGTAGAAGGATGCAGAAGGCCTCTCCAATATGAACCAACCCCAGAAGGCCACCTCCTGCTGCAAGCCAACCATCAAACAGGGAAGGGAGAGGCCTACTGTCCTACTTTATCCATACTTACCCAAAAATAAGTCCTACATTGTCAAGCGGGATTTATTTCCATAGGCAGGCACAGGACAACAGGGCACGTTAGAGATAAGCCTTACGCCAGCATCTGATTTCAATGCCAGGCATAGACCAAGGAACACTTGGCAGACCACAACCCCACAGCTCGGGCGCAGGAGCGGAGAGGGCTTCGGGGGCAGAGGGGTGGCCCCTGCCCAACCAAGCGAGCCCAGCCACTGCTCGCCCAGTCAGAACACGGTCATCCCCCTGGCCTGGAAAAGAGATGGCTGGTCACGATGATGCAGCAGCGGCATCCAGGAGCATCATCCTCCCTCGCCCGGGAGGCCGAGCGGCAGCCAATCGCACCCACCGGGGCGCCACGAGCCAGGGCGGAGCGGCAGGCGAGGAAGGACCCGGGGCGCGGGAGCCCGGCTCCCCGCTGGCGCACCCACGGGTGGGGAGGCCGGCCGCTGCCCCCGGCCCAGGCCCGCGCAGTCACACGACACGGGGCAAGGTGCGGGCTGCCTCCCGTGCCCACTCCAGCGGCGCAGGGGGGCGGGGGCCGCCCCTCCTCGCCTCACGCTCGCTCTCCCTCGCCCGCTCCTCCTCCTCCGCCTTCCTCGTTTGCTCCCCCGAGGAAAAGCCGCCCCGACACTCACCCCAAGGGCAAGACGAGGATGAAGCGCCTTGCAGGGGGTCGCCCTCTCAAGCCCAGGCGCCCGGCCGGCTGCGATAAGCGAGGGAAGGGCAGACACTCCTCCGCTGCTAGCAGGGTCCTCCTCGGAACCCGCCTCCCCGCACGCACACGCCCCGGAACTCGCCGCCGGTGCAAGCCTCATCCGCTGCGGCGGCGGCGGCGGCCGGGCTGCGCTGGGCTGACAGCTGACGCTGACGTAATGCCCCTCGCGCTGCGCACGCGCTCGCCCCTTTCCCTCGAGCCGCGCGCGGGCGGGCGCGCGCGCCCCGCATTGCCTGCGCTGGGAGGCAGGAAGCGCGCTCCCGCCCGCCCGAGCCTGGGGTTCCAAAGGTCTCCCCCCCCCGCGCCCCCCTGCTCTCGCGCCGCCAACGGCTTTCCCGCGCAAATTTAAACCCGCTCTGCGGGCCTTCAGCAGCTGCTGCTGAAAGGATGCGATCCCGCTCCTCTCTAAGCAGGATGAATGGCCTGCGAGTTGGAAGCTGTAGGCCTTTACTTCCTATCTGTTCCTTCACTGGGTAGCATCTTCTGACCGGACACGCGTAAGATTGCACCTTAATCACCTGCAAGTTGGCTCAGCTTCCGTGAATGATTGCGCACTTGGTTTCAGCTAATTTTGAGACCCCCAGGAGAAGTCAAGCAGCGTACAACTTTACACTCCACAGATGGAAATGGCTGCGGAGCTTCGGAATGAACAGAGGGGTTCTGCCTGTTTATTTTAGGTGTATTAGAAGCGACCTTGAGACCTTTGGCTAGAATTGCCCAACTTTAATAAATGGAAATAGAGTCAGGCTGCAATCTGTATGCATGGAGTAAGACCCCCATTGAGCTCAGTAGGCACGAGTAATGCCTGAGTAGGCACACATTGGAGAGCACTGCATGCATAGCACAGTCCTGACCTTGCACATAATGCTGATTGAAAAGCCCCTCCGTCAGAATCATAGCTGACCTTGCCCCCATGTAACCAACAAACTGCTGTAGATGTTGGTTATATTTCAGTTCCCCAACAGGAACTGAGGTTCCTGCTAGCTGGCTTCATTGCTGGCCAAGTGCATCTTTAGCCTAAAATGTCCAGAGGCAGCAGCTTAGTGCACCAACCGCTTTGGCAATGAACTTCCCTACAGGCCGCCTGGTTGCCTGCAACTAACTGTATTTTGGTGTTCTTGCTGTTCCTGACATCAGGATTACGTTTAGGTGATCTTTTCCATGCTGAGAGTCTACCAGAGGATCAATGTATAATAGATGCATGGAGCAGTTATCTTGCAAGTAAGATTTCCCCAAATATGCCAGCCTATTATGCAGGAGTTTAACGGCTGTGAAATACTGTTGCTTGTTTATCTACAACCATGTCTTCACAATTTATAGTTCTTCTGCAAACTGGGAAACATTTGTAATGCATTTTAATTAGTAAAAATAAAATCAAAGAGTGGATTATTTCAATCCAAATATGCTGTAATTCACTTATTATGACATATATCATTTGCTTGCAGCAATTCATTTCACTTGAGCATAGATTCATGAATATATAACTTCATTTAAATTCACATGATTTCATTGCCGCCTCCCACATCATAATTATTCTCTCAAATTAAAACCCCTCCATAATGTAAATGCCTAACATTCTATTAATTCAGTACACACATACTGAAAACTGGAGATGTATCTTGATTAAAAAGTAATTGTGTGTGAATAGCTCAGGCACAGCTTTGGATTTTAGAGCTAGAAATGCAAGCACAAAAGTTGTTCTTGAAGAAACAGCAACAACAAACCATAGGAAAGTCTTGCATGAAGATTGCCCCTTTCTGACCATTTATTCATTTTATTTATTTAAAACATTTTTATGCCACCCCCATCGCAACAAAGCCTCGGGGCGGCTCACCACAAAAACAAAATACATAAATATAACAATTATACAAGTAAAAATATTAAAACCCGGTGCATCTCGGATTAAAAGATTTAAAATCCTATAAATACAAATAAGTTAACAATTAAAATGAGTTTTAAATAAAAAGGTCTTAGCCTGGCACCGAAAAACAAATAACAGCGCCAGGCAGACCTCTCTGGGGAGCGCATTCCATAGATGGGGCGCCACTGCAGAGAAAGCCCCAATTATAGACTATATAGACATATAACCGTGCAGGCTCACACAAACATTCCTTCCCTACTAGGTTAAAAAAAACCATAGAAGGCATACAGGTGGGCTAGTCTCAACCAAGCAGCTTAGTCACATCCTTAGACTAAGTCATCCACCAAACCTGGATAACAGTGCTCTGGACACTTCCACTAACAATGCTTCATTAATAATGAGATCCAAGTCATGATGGATAGAGGCCACTTTACCCTCAAATCCTCTTGCAAATGTGTTACAACATGATATCAAGGGTTCTACTACAACTCGAGGAGGAGGAGGAGGAGTCTGAGGCCTTATTTCAAAAGGCCCCCATGCTCTCTGGGCACATTTCTTCATCTCCATCATTCCACAAAGCATGTATGATAGTAGGTTCCTCCTTATGTTCAATCAAACTTGACAAACTTTCTTTCTAGCTGAGTTTCACTTACCTGTGCATCTCCATCATCATCATCATTTTTTTTTCCATACTAGCCACTAGCCAAAACTCTAGCTGTGTAAACAATTAAAATACAATAAAACGCAATTTAAAATGTAAATAGTAAAACATCAAAAATGTAAAACTGAAGTTAACAGTTAAGACAGGTTCATATAGCTGAGCCTCCCAGAATTCCCCCACCATCCCAGTGCTATTTCTAACTATTAAATGCTTGGCCATAGATGGCAGTTTTAGCCTGGTGCTAAAAAGATGGTAAAGTTGGCACCAGGTGAACCTCAGTGGGGAGATCATGCCATAATTTGGGGGCTACCATGAAGAAAGTCCTTATCGTTGCCCCACCTGAGCCTCCCTTGGAGGTGGTAGTTGGATAAGGCACTGCATGTTGATCATAGCGTCAGGATAGATTGCAGCCGGGAAAGACATTCCATCAAGTATTGTTGCTCCAAACTGACTGAGTACAGTTTTATAGGTTGAAACCAACACTTTCAAACCAGACTTAGAAGTGTATAGGCAGCCATAGCAAGGGAGCCAGAATTGGTATTCTATGTATGGACCTTCTGATTCCAGTTATTGGTCAGGCACAGACTTAGCCCATTCACAGCCATTTCCACTGAGTTGATATTGCCAGTAGGCAGAGTAAGGAAGCAACATATTTGAAATGCCATGAACTGATATGAAATAGTTATTTGATTTATTACTGTTATAGTTTTGTTTCCAAAGAGAGGATCTTGTGAGATTTTCTGCCTCAGGTGCCTGTATAACTTGGGCAGACACAGTACTGTCGGGATTATCTGGCTGCAAAAAGCCTGAAACTGACAAGAGCAATTTTAAGATGGGCATCCTGATCAGGAAACTATGTTGCAAGTCTTGTTCCTCATGTTCCTTAGTCTTGATCCATTCAATCCTTTTGTTTCCACTCTCAGGTGCCTCTTGCAAAAGCTCTGCTGGTCCCCCATCCTCCTCCAAACTGCCTGTTGTTGTTGTTAGTCCCAAAGAGTCGTGTCCAACCCATCGTGACCCCA